AGAGAAAACATGTTGTCAAGCAGTTGTACATGTAGGTGTGAGCGACGAACGATTCGTTGAACGGAGTTGTTGCGAGTGCGCGACGACCGTTCGTGACATTCTCCCCTACTTAAACTGTCGACGAGGGCGTCGACGCTTGTTGGTAGTTGTTAATGATTTCTTCTTCATGTCGCAGGGCGTCTTCAGGCTCCCAACTGGCTTCAGTTCGGGGAAGCTTTCGCCACTTCACCAAGTACTCTGTCTGCTCAGCTCCGTTGGGTAGCTTTATCTTGCGGTCCGCCAGAATGGTTTCAACTCGCTTCTTGTAGGAGGCTGTGATGGGAGGTAGTCGAGTTGGAATACTTCGGGAAGCATCTTGCGGATCCGAGTGGTAGGCTTTTAGTTTGCTGGCGTGAAGAACGTTGTGAATTTTGAACCACGCTGGCAGTTGTAACTTGTAAGAGACGTTGCCTACCCTGCTGATAATTGGGAAGGGCCCTTCATACTTGCGCATCAATCCTTTGTGGACTTTGTTCCTAAAGAATTGGAGTGATGCTGGTTGGAGCTTTACTAACACCAAATCGCCAACTTTGAACTCTTACGGTCGCCTTCCCAAGTCTGCCCACTTCTTCATCCTTTTTGTCGCCTTCTCCAAGTAAGCCCGCGCAATATCTGCATTTCAATACCACTCCTTTGCGAAATGGTAGGCTGACGGACTACTCCCAGTATACCCAATGGCCATGGTGTGCGGAGTCGACGGTTGTTGTCCAGTTATGATCTCGAAGGGGCTCTTGTTGGATGCAGAGCTCCGCTGCAAGTTGTAGGAGAATTGGGCAATGTCCAATAGCTTCACCCAATCTCGTTGGTTGGCACTCACGTAGTGCCGAAGATATTGCTCCAGGAGCGAGTTTATCCTTTCAGTTTGGCCATCCGTCTGGGGGTGGAGGCCTGTAAAGAAGTATAACTTTGACCCCAACAATTTAAATAGCTCGGTCCAGAATCGTCCCAGGAACCGAGTGTCTCGATCACTAATGATGTTGTGCGGGACTCCCCAATACTTCACCACATCCTTCATCATCAGCTTGGCCGCCTCCTCTGCTGAACAGTGTAGGGGAGCAGCAATGAAAGTTGCATACTTTGAAAACGGATCGACCATCACGAGTATCGATCCGAGTCTCCCTACAAGTGGCAAGCTTGATATGAAGTCTAAGGAAATGCTCTCCCACGGCCTTTCTGGTACGGGCAACGGCTCCAAAAGTCTCATCGGCTTTCGCTGCTCCACCTTGTCTTATTGGCAAGTAAGGCATGTTCGAACATATTCCTCCACATCAGTCCCCATTTTCGGCCAGTAGAAGGCCCTCTCCACGAGAGCCAGCGTTCTGTGAATGCCTGGGTGTCCAGCCCAAAGGGAATCGTGACACTCTTTTAAGAGTTCACGCCTCAAATTGTCCAACGGGGAACATAAACCCTATTCCCTTTGGTGTAAACGAGTCCCTCCTGGACCCAAAATCATCGTGCCTTGCCTTCTTTGATGAGCTGCATCAAGATAACTGTCTGGGGGTCATTATACAGTCCATCCCTGATTCTGGAAAGGAAGTTGGAGTGCAACTGACTTGCTTGGCCTCCGCCCTCCAATTGTGCGGCATTCACACGCTCCACCTTCCAACTCAATGCATCGGCCATGACATTTGCCTTCCCAGGCTTATACTCCATTGCCATATAAAATTCAGCCAGGAAGTCATGCCAACGCGCCTGCTTTGGGGAGAGCTTCTTCTGAGTTTGGAAATAGCTCAGAGCGATGTTGTCCGTCCTCAACACAAATCGCGATCCGAGGAGATAGTGTCGCCAAACTCGTAGACAGTGGATCACTGCTGTCATCTCCTTCTCATGCACTGGATACCGCCGCTCGGTCTCGTTGAGTTTGAGGCTCTCGTAGGCCACTGGATAACCCTCTTGCATGAGTACTCCCCCAATAGCGAAGTCCGAAGCATCTGTATGGACTTCAAAAGGCTCCCCATAGTCTGGTAATTTGAGCACTGGTTCTTCCATAACAGCAGCCTTCAGATCTTGGAATGCTATTTCACATTTGTCGATGGGGTTGCACGCTTCGAATATCCCGCTATGAAGCGTCGATAATAATTGACGAAACCAAGGAAGGATCTCAACTCTGGCACCTTCTTTGGAGTTCGCCATTCCGCAACTGCTTGCACCTTCGACTTATCCATCCGAATGGAGCCATCCCCGATTAGATGCCCCAAGAATAAGATCTCAGTTTGAGCAAAGTATCATTTCTCCCTTTTCACGAACAAAGTGTTCTCCCTGAGAACCTTGAAAATTGTCCGAAGGTGTTTGACGTGCTCCTCGAGCGTTTGACTGTAGACGACGATATCGTCCAAGTAGACGACCACGAACTTATCCAAATACTCCTTGAATAGCTGGTTCATGAGAGTGCAGAACGTGGCCGGAGCGTTGGTTAAGCCGAAGGGCATCACCAAGAACTCAAACGCTCTATACCTGGTCACACAGGTAGTCTTCGCTTCGTCGCCTTCAGCAATGCGTACCTGCCAATACCCCGACCGAAGGTCGAGCTTCGAGAAATACTTAGCTTTGCCCAACTGGTCGAACAAGTCCGCGATGAGCGGGATGGGATACTTGTTCTTCACTGTCACTTTGTTAAGGGCTCGGTAGTCGACGCATAATCGGAGGCTCCCATCTTGTTTCTTCTGGAAGAGAACTGGAGCTTCGAAAGGTGCTTTAGAGCTGCGGATGAGACCACCACTTAGCAGTTCACCTAACTGTTTTCTGAGTTCTGCCAACTCTGGCGAGGCTATGCGGTAGGGTGGTCTCGCTGGAGGCTTCACTCCTGGCTCCAGCTCAATTTTATGATCCACGCCTCTGCGTGGTGGAAGAGTCTTCGGCAACTCGGGTGGCATAACGTCATTGAACTCTTTCAGGACATTCGCCACCACAGCAGGTTCTTGAATGGCCTTCTCGTTGAGTGGCTCTAACTTCATTGCAGCCACGAATGTCAATTCGCCTTTTCGCACCCCTTTCTTCAGTTGTAATGCCGATATGTGTTGGGGCTCCTTGGTTCCTCTCTGAGAGACGGGAACCACGCAGGGGTCATCGCCTCCCATCATACATAGGGAGTTCAAGAACGGCATCGGCACCAACTTCGTCGCGTGCATAAACTCCATTCCAAGAATCACTTGGAAGTCATCCAGTGGCACGGCCATCATGTTGGTGTTCCCGCTCCATGTCCCGATTTTGATGGGAACTCCCTTCGCCACCCCGGAGATTCGCCTGGCCTCCGAGTTCACCGCCTTCATTCGGCTTGGGCTCTTCTCCAGGATCAACCCAAGTCGCTGTGCTTCTCGATCAGCTATGAAGTTGTGGGTAGCGCCCATGTCCACCATTGCACGGGTCGTTTGGCCATTTAGCTTGATGTCCACATACATCAGCTCACTACTTCCTGCTTTTCGTAGCTTTGTCTTGATGTTCTCCCCCACTTGACCCCGCATGGCGTTCAACAAACGCATTGCTCCCATTCGGGGTCCTTGTGACTCCTTGTCGTCGCTGTCGCGCTCCTCTTGAGTGGCTCCAACAGCATGAGAGCGAGTGTGCACATGCAGCCCACCTGCGGCTGCTTGGGGCAAGGGTCCGGCTTGCCGCGTCTTACTTGATTCGCCACGATGCTTTGCCATGGCGAAGTTGCGAAGTTCGTTCGCTGCTCGCTCGAAGTGCTTGCCCGCTCTGATACCACAATGTCACGGCCTTAGCTGGAATTGCCTAAGGCGTGAGGCACCCTTGCAGCCAAAGACGCGAACTTAGCTTGTGTCGCCTAAGTCGCGGGTCACCTTTGCGGCAAAGGCGCGAACTTAGCTTGCGTGGCCTAAGTCGCGCTTCGCCCTTGCGATATTGCTCAGCAAGGATCAGCCCACTTGTAACCTCTTGCAGGTCCCGAAGGACCTGTAAAAAGAGAAAGTTGATTAGTTCGAAAGAACGAGCGGCGGACAAGTCCCAACGTCTCGCGAAAAGGGGAAGCTTTACAAGCAATTCAGCGAGCACCTTGCGTGCACAAGAGAAAATAGGGAGAGGGGGAAAACAAGGGCTTTAGAAGGTTGAACGAACAGTTGCAAGCCCATAAACAGCCGCTCACCTGGTCCCGGGCGCGACAACAAGTACCCGTCAAGGCAACGTGCGAACTTACGAAAGAGTGTTCGACGCCCGGTATATATCCAAAGCCCCATCCAGCCCTGTGCCACCCGGGGGGTTCAAAGGGGCTGAGATGGCTGACGTTTTGGTGAGCGGAGGCAGATTCCAGAAATCAGCCCGCGGCACGCGAAAACGGAGCTGTTTTGGGCTATTTTGGGGTTGTTTTGCTCGATTCGGTGAGCGGTCGCTTTGTAACGCTGCAGCTTGTTCGAACTTACATTTTTACAAGCAAAATGACCCAAAAACCAAGAGAAAACATGTTGTCAAGCAACTGTACATGTAGGTGTGAGCGATGAACGGTTCGTTGAACGGAGTTGTTGCGAGTGCGCGACGACCGTTCGTGACAGTCTGTACCAATCTTGCTGCTTTTACATCTTCACAAATTCTCTAACTATATTTTTGGTACCATATTATTCGCTCTATTTTACTAGTGCATCGTTGGCAGTGTATGCATGGTGCCATGGCCTAAAAACTATGCTGCCGAAAACATTATTTAGGCTCTTGTCTACGGACTATATCAGTTTATTGCACCAAAAGATTCTACAACTTAATACCAATTTATTTATTTTAGACTTTCTCATACGCAGTGTACCAACATTTTTGGCACCACGATCCCACTCTAAAATTCCAAAAGCCATCTAAAGCAACTGATTTCTCTCAAGCAAAAAAGTCCACAATTTGCAACTGTTGCAAAAAAAAAATCTTTTTTGATCTTACGAGAACTAGGACAAATCTAAAGCAACGCAACTATTTCTGACAACCAAACCGAACTATAACAAAGATCGAAAGGGAGAGAATAAACTTACCACCACCATCTAAATTGATTACCACATCCTCGTCGCCATCATTCTTCTCCTTCTTGTCCCGAAGTGTCTTACCTCTCAGAACAAGCTTCAATCGCTCCGCCGGCAGCCGAAACTCCGCGGCAACCAATCTCCTCAAATCCGCGACCTGACTTACAAACCGGTTAAAATCATGAGATACGATTAGGGTCAGAAATCAAACAACCAAAAGTAATTTCCAAGATCATTAGGGTTAGGGTACCGATCGACCGACCTTGATGGGGGAGGGGACTCGGACTCTGGTAGGTCGGGCGGGGCCGACCGTTTTGACGGTGATCTCCACTGCCTCCCGCTCCTCTCCGGCCATTGCTCGCCGCTTCGACCCCTACAAATTAAGACGCATAAAACGGAAATAAAAATAAAACACAAGTTATTAAAGGAGGTCTTTGATAGAATTATAGCCGGCCCAGTTCGGCCCATTAAGCCGTAATGGGCTTTCCTTATCTCCGGCCCAAGTTGGACATTGCTATGGTTTGGTTTCAGATGTAATTTTGGCAATTTTGTTTTTTGTTTTTTTCTTTTTCAATAATTTTTCTTCTTCATGTCAATATTAACAAATCTAATGTTAGGATTGAAAAAAATTTGGTGGGTGAGCTTCAAAAAGACTTAAAATTCATGCGGCAGGCACGTCTTATTCGGTTTATTAATTAATTATACGAGTCACAATGATTAATTTCTTAGGCATTACTTTACTCACCAATATGTTCATATTTTAATTTTGCTCTGATTTATTTTTCTAAATTGACAATGATCTCTTTCTCCACTTATAAGGTAAGCGATAAGTCATTGGTCGAACTCAATACGAGCTGTTGCTTCTCAGATATCCACTTGGCAGCAGCCATTCCTTGAGTTGTGACATGAACAGAAGCAGCTGGTGGGCTGGCTAAGTTTTCAGCTGTAAGGGTAAGCAGCAGCATGATCAACATATGACTTGGAAGAGCAGGTTGGCGATCCAGAAAGCTAGAGAGCGAAGAACACCTGCAAAGATTCTTCAAATATCCGAAGAAGAAACAGAGAGAGTTGTGATTTTGATTTGTGCATTGGTTTTGCTTCAGATGGAATTCTGTGATGCAGAAACAAAAACTTTAGCAGAGGAATGAATAGGCTTCTCTTTTCGTGAGATGTTGCATGGTTCTTGAGATGGTGAGGTGCATCTGAATTCTCTACCATTGATGGCATGATGCACTCGGTGTAGTATGTTTTGACAACATTACAGCAATTGGTTCTCACATAAAAACTAAAGAATGACCAGACAGATTTCAATGTTTGGTGGTAGAAAGGGTCTCATCATCATCATCCCCTTTTTTACTTGAAGCGACAGAAGAAATAATTTATACACAAACAGATAGCTAGTATCACATCGTTGAGTCCTCTTCCATTAGCTTTTAATCATCCATGCATGAGCTTACATTGCAGAGATAATGGCAATCATTTTGTCATCAAAACCATTTTTGAACAACAGGATCTGAGAATTGCTTCACATCACTGTGGAACATGAGTTGTTTAAATCATGCTTCGATCGACGTGCGTGGAGGGATGGATGGCTAGATACAAAGTCACCCTTTCATTTCATATGTTTCAGGTCATTTGTGCTTTGGACTTTCATATGTTAACCACATATGGTTTGAGAAGGATTCTCTCCTACTTCCGACACTAATGGAAGAGGAAACACCTACATTGGAACAAATAATCTCTTTAGTTAGACCAAAACTAATAATTAAATTCATTACTCAATAACTTTGTAAGATTTATACCTTAGTTGTCTAAATAAACTCTCTTGCATCAGTGTTCAACTTGAAACCCAAAATACTCTAAAGATTATATTTTCTATGTATATAACTTGTGTTTTTCAGGTATCTAAAGTATACACTCAAATGTCCATTGCTGATTTGGTTGGATGAAGTAAAAAAAGTCTCTTTAAAATATATTATACTCTTTCCCTCCTTCGCATTTTGGACCATTTATTTATTGAGATCGGAACTATGATTTTAGAGTCCAACCAAAATCAGGCTATCGGATATCAAGAGTTGATTTTCTTAAACTAAAATTTTAATATATATTTAAAATATATTTAGAATGTCAAATATCAAAAACTATTACATAAGGCCATCATGTTTTAGTTAAGATGAAAAACAGATGGAGAAAGTAGAAAAAAATAAAATAAAACTGTTCAGTTTTTGAAAAATAAAAATATCAAAAAAATTTTAATTATAAAATTTCTTATGGAGGTCAATATGGTTACTATTGAAAGCTTTACTAAAAATTTTGTAGTGTTTGGATAGGTCGATGGTCTAATTTTAGGGCCTAACCAAAATTATATTACTAAGATTTGATTTTTTCAAATCAAACTTTTCACTATAGCTTTGGGACATATCTAAAATTTTGCTCAAATATCAAAAAATATTGCATAAAAAAATCATAATCTGATGAAATGAAAAAAGATGAAAAAATCATATACTATTCGGATTTTGAAAAAATAAAAAATAAATTATAAAATTTATTATAGAGGTTCATATGGTTGTAATTTAAAGTTTCTTAAAATTTTCATTGTATTTGGATTATTTCTTGAGATAGATAGATAGATACTCTAATTTTGGGGTCCAACAAAAATTAGGTTATCATATATCAAAAGTTAACTTTTGTGGACTATATTTTTACCATAGTTTGTTGACCTATTTAAAAACTCAAATATTAAAAAAATATTATATAAATCCATCATGTTTTGATGAAAATAAAAAAGATGAAAATAAGAAAACAACAAACTATTTCGTTTATGAAAAAATAAAAATATCAAAAAATTCTCTAAATCAGAAAATTTCTTATAGATATCTATCTAGTTGTAATTGAAAGTTTTCCTAAAAATTTCATGGCATTTGGACCACTCCTTAAAGTCAATACTCTGATTTTGGGGTCCAACCAAGATCAAGGTATCGTATATTAAGAATTAACTTGTAGATCACACTTCTACCATAGTTTGTTGATCTATTTAGAAGCTTAAATATCAAAAAATATTACATGGATTCATCATGTTTTGGGGTGCAAATTATTCAAATTCTAAAAAAAAGAAAAATAATCAAAAAATTATGTAAATTAGAAAATTATTATAGAGGTCCATATGAATGAAATTGAAAGCTTTTTTGAAATTCTCACAGTATTTGGATCATTCATTGAGGTTAACACTTTGATTTTGGGGTCTAAACAAAGTTCAAATGTTAAACAATATTACATCAAAGCATCATGGTTTAGTGAAAATAGAAAAAAATGGAGAAAATAGAAAAACTACAAACTATTAAGATTCTATAAAATTTAAAAATATATCAAAAAATGATAAATTTAAAAATTTATTATAGAGATCAATGTGTTACAATTTAAAACTTTCTTGATTTCATTGCATTTGGACTATTCTGGTCGATATTTTGATTTTGGGTTCCAATCAAAATCAAGGTATCGTATACCGGGAGTTAACTTTTGTCGACTAAAACTTTATCATAGTTGGTAGACTTATTTAGAAGCTCAAATGTTAAAAAACATTACATAAAAACATCATATTTTGGTGAAAATAAAAAAAATAGAGAAAATAAAAAATCACAAACTATTCAAATTCTAAAAACAAAGTAAAAAAAATGTAAATTAAAAAAATATCAGATAGATCAATATGGTTGGAACTGAAAGCTTTTCTAAAAATTTCATAGCATTTAGACCGTTCGTTAATGTTGATACTTTAATTTTCGGGTTCAACGAAAATTAGGATTATCAAGATTTGATGTTTCTAGACCAATTTTTTACCATAGCTTGGGATATATTTAGAAGCTCAAATGTTAAAAAATATTGTATAAAGACATCATGATGAAAATAAAAATAAAAAATAAAAAAATCATAGATTATCATATTATGAAAAAAAGAAAAATATTAAAAATATGTAAATTAGAAAATTTGTTATTGAGGCCTATATACTTGTAATTGAGCTTGGCTACAAAAATCTTTTGGTTCTCGGGGTGATAGAAATAATACCCATAAGTTTATTTGAGGTATCCCACGAACTTGCATCGCTCTGTTCTGGATTCCAACTTATCGGGGTTGTATCTTTTAATGTGAGTAGGGTAACCCTAAATCTTAACAACCCTAAGATCGAGCTTCTTCCCTTTCCATATCTCGTATGGTGTAGACACTATCAATTTGTTGGAATTTTGTTCAGGTAGGCTGCGGTCTCTGTGGCATATCCCTAGAATGAGATAGGTAGGTCGGCGAAACTCATCATAGACCGCACCATGTCTAACAGGGTGTGATTCCTTCTCTTGGATACACCATTGAGGTGAGATGTATAAGGATGTGTCTATTAGGATAGAATCTCATGGTCCTTGAGGAACTGGGTGAACTTTGTACTCAAGTACTCACATCCTCGATCTGATTGAAGAGTCTTGATACTCTTTCCAATCTAGTTCTCTACTTCATTTTTATACTCCCTGAATTTCTCGAAGGCCTCAGACTTGTACTTCATTAAGTACATATGTTCATACCTTGAGAAATCATTAGTAAAAGTAATGAAGTAGGAGTAACCACCTATGGTATGGGACCAAATACATCACTATGTATGAGTTCCAATAACTCAGTGGCTCTCCCTTTAATTCGACTAAATGGAGAGTTGGTCAATTTTTCACGAAGGCAAGACTTGCAAGTTGCATATGACTCGTAGTTGAATGGATCTAGGTATCCATCCTTTAGCAACTTTTGAATCCTTCCCTCATGGATATGACCTAGCCTTTACTGCCACAAGTATGCATTGTTCACCTCATCTCGTTTCCTGTTAGACTCACTTACATTCATGATATATGGAGTAGTGTCTAGTATAAATAAACCATTATGCAATTTTTCTCTCATGATGATCTTATCATCTAATAATACTAAGCAATCATTATTTTTAAAAACTCATTTATATTCACTGACTGTTAAACATGAAATAAAAATAATATTTTTGATAATAGAATGAACAAAATAGTATGCATCTAATGTAATAATAACTCCACCAAGCAGATGTAGGGTGACCTCACTAATAATTATTGCAGTAACTTTTACTTCATTTCTCATCTTGAGGTCCATCTCGCCTCTCACTAATCTCCCAGACTTTACTAGAACCTACAACAAATTGCAGATATGATAAGCACTATAAATATCCAATACTCATATGTTATTATAAGAGTCTAATAAATGAAAATTGATCATGAATGTACTTGAAGCTTTTCCAAGCTTCTATTCCGCCCTCTCTACAAGGTACTTTTTGTAGTTCCTCTTCTAGTGCTCATCTTTATCGCAGTAGAAATACTACCTTTTGTCATTTATCGGGTCTTTCTTAGCAACTTTTACTTTACCTGGTTTGCCCTTGCCTTTGCCCTTCTTAAGGGACTTTTCTGCATTTCTTTTCTTTT